TTCAGAAAGAAGATACGTATAATGACATTTTAACAAATTTTAATGCTGCTAAAGCCGCATTATTATTTTCTGGCGGAAAATTAAATGAAAAGGTACACGCGATTTACATTATTTAATTACCTGAAAATAATAATAATAATAATAATAATGAATAAGTATTCAAACAAATTTTTTAGTATACAATGGCGGATTCCGTTAATACTTATGAATTGGCATATAATTATGCTTGTACATATCTCGGGCGAAAAGATTTTAAAAAAGTAGAAAAATTGTTGATTACTGCAAGAAGTATAGTAAATTTTCTTTTCTCAAAGGTGATTCATAAATTTATATCAAGTTAATAATTATATTAGAATAACTTTTATAGATATATGTCGAAAATCTTTGACTGAAGATGATTATAGTGAGGAAGAGATTGAACAAGAATTAGGTACAATCAATGTACAATTAGCATATTTATACCAACTTCTGGGCCGGATAACTGAGGCCATCGACCTTTATCAAAGTGTACTCAAGTTTAAGTAAGTTCATGGTGGAATTGAATATGCCATTATAAATTTACGGTTTGTTGATTTCATTTATCAATTTGTAGAGGGACAGATATGACTGTTTCAGCCATTGCATCTAATAATTTTGTCGCTGCTAAAAAGGATAGTGAATTGTTTGATTCTGCTCGTAAATTAAAAGTTGCAAGCGCAACTACATTAGATACTAAATTGTTTAGAAGGCAGCGTCGCATAATCGCGATGAATGAAGCATTATTATCATTGTATATGCATAAGGTCTGTTTATATTAATCATAGTCTCTGATTTATTCGTCTCTATTAATTATCAAACTATACAAAATTTTTTTATATTTAAATTTTATTCATTTAGTATACTACATGCCAAGATGTTACTCGTAGGTTACTAGAAGCTTATCCTGAAAATGATGATCTTTATCTCATTTTAGCTTCAATCTCTTATCGTCAAAAAAAGGTTACAAAGGCTATCCAGGAATTACAAGAATTTGCAAAGTCAAAACCGGAATCATTATCTAT